CCACAGAATTTGGCAGATAAGTGAACAGAACCATCCTGTTGAAAGATACCATTCAGTGGCTTAATTTGCGAAAAAAAAATGGTGTGTAATTATCTGAAAGATTGCAAATATCTTGCTTATACTCATGTAAATGACTGTAGGAAAACATTCATAGCATAGTGTGGTATTAAATAATGGAGTTACTGCACAAGATTTGTGGCTGTTGCTAGGGAGACACTAAGCAGTTATTTATCTTGTCAGTCAGTCTCTGTAATGTACAGTGGGTTTTACCTTGTAGTCATAGCTGCAAACTGGTAAAGCTTTTTCTTCTCCCTTTGCTTTCTTATTGCAGAAGGAAACATTTCTCTCAATTGCTGCCAAAGTCTGGCACTAACACAGTTGCAGGATAGGAGTGTGCATTGTCCTACGCTGTTAAATGAAGAGGATAACAGCATAACGTGATGTACTGACTTAAAATCCTGAAGGTTTTCTCAACTGAATTGTTAGGATTTAATTCAGAAGTCTAACAGAAATTATCTGGAAGCATACTGAGTTTTAATTGTTCTGATTCAAAGCAGTATGCTGCAGGCAGACAGGTAAGAGGCATTCACACAACCTAGTCTCTTGCGAAAACTTGAGTTGCCCATCATCTGACAACTGTCTGGAGATGTGGGTAACTCCAGGCAGGATTGTACCTTAAAGGTTGCTGACATTTCAGGTTAGGAAAGGAGTTGGGTTAGGAGTTAGGGAGTCAGGTGACTTGCAGAAATTGCTGCAGGTGTCTTGGAAAGCATGTGCAAGTTTTGGGAGAAGGTACAGTTGTTAGCTGTGAAGGACAGCTGAGATACTCTGAAACAAAAATGTTCTTATTTATATTATATTGGTAGTTGTGGTTGAAATATTCCCACCTTCACCCCTCACTGGATTCTGTTCCATGCAGTGAATGAAACGGTGTTTTGTCACTGTCCAATTCGGTCAATTCTATAGTATTAAATAGTCATTACTGTATGGTGGAACCAAGAGCCTGCACTCCTGTCTCGAGCTGCTGAAGCAAGAATCTATTCCAAAATCTGATGTGTCATTTTAACCATTGAATGCTATGTTTTGTCCCTTTTTTTTTTTAACTTGAACTTGTTCAATTGTCTGTTGCTTTACTAATATTTTTAAGTCTTGAAAGTCTCCAATAATATCAGGAACGTGTAGCTCTGTGTAGCAACACTTTTCTGAGTTACCAGAAATGTGTCTGCTGATGTAAGTGTACAAAAAAGGTCTGGTCTTGCTTCTTGCCTGCTGGGTTTTTTTTCTGGACAGATAAAGACCAGTGTATGACATAAAAGAAAATGACATTTGTTTTTCCTAGTTCTAACTACATTTACTGTTTGACATAGATGAAAGATTTTCAGCTGTGCACTTCCTCTTCTTTAGAATAAAAATGAGGTAATAAGATTTCTGGAAGAAAGTTCTTGAGGATGCTTGATGTTTTTTTAGACAGAGTGATTTTTAACAAGATACTGTTTTGCACCTGTGCAGTTGCATCTATGCTGGCTTTGCAGGCAAGGAAAAGTACAGGCCATATCATAACCTGTTGATAGCAGCTACATTTTTATGGCCTGCACTATGTTCTACTTGAGTTGCTTTTTTTTAAAAAAGACAGTTGAATGTGGACAACTTCTTTGAGAAGTTTGGGACTATGACTGGAGGTGCAGAGGCGCAGTCAGTGCAGCTGTGATTTCCCTGTGCTGAGCGTACGTGTGGTTTCCCCACACAGCCTTCCCCATCTCCAGTCACAGCTGCACAGCAGAAGGTGAATGTGTAAGGTTAAATAGGTAGAAGTACTTTCAGGTAAAGTACATATAAATATTTCTTTGTGCTTGGGAATGGTAGTTTTCAGAAGCAACTTACAATAAGCTTATTTCAGTTGAATGAGAGCAGGAGGAGAAGAAACTTACTGACAGTGTCAGTGAGAAAAATACATAGTGGCTTTCAACAGAAGAGAAATAGAGTGCTATCCTAGTTTGCACATCTTCAAAAGAAATAATGGTTACTTTTGATTTGGATAGTTCACAGTAGTAGTAGTGTTTTCAATAAAACCATCGATGTAGTTCTTTAGCATGGAGAGGGAAGAGCTAGCTTATATAATGATGATTTATATCTTCTGGTGTGTGAGCATATCTGGATGTGCTGTAGAATGGAAAAGGACTATCAGTCAGATTATTTTAGGAGGCTGTAACTTGCAGCAGTCCTTTGCGGGCAGTGTTGTGTTTCTGAACTGGATGTGACTGATTCATTCAGAATCCTGCAGTAAATTTCTGATAGTGTTGTAAACAGTATTTTGAAATGTCTCGTAGGCTTTTCTCTTTAATAAGGGAAGCAGCAAAAATGCTGCTGAACGTTTTAACCTAAATTGAGAAACGTGAAATAAGTTGTTCTTGAGCGTGTTTTCAAATATGATGAGTGAACAGCCCTTCTCATTGCACTTTCTAGGTGGTATTTGTTAAGTGTGTTTGGATATTTGAGCAGAAGAGAAGCAGTTTGAATATAAATGAGGGTAGTGATCATAGTAGAGTTCTTCTGCCACATGTTTACTTTGACAGCCCTATAAATGTTTTCATAGTGGTGGGAAGCTTAGAGCTGGGTCACAGACTACTTAAATATGCTGATGCACAGCTTTAAAAATATCTTTCTTCTAAATGTCGCTTCCAGAAAGAAGGAGGAGCACTTAAGGACTCTGCTAAATAATGGTTATCCTAAATGAATGCTTGTCTCAATAAACTTTATTCACTGGTTTTGTAAAAGAACAATATTTTGGAGTTGGCTGAACCAACATAAGTAATGGTGCTTACAACAGCTCTATAGCTAAAATACTTAAGGCTTGAAAACTGATGGACAAAAGTGAGATGGTTGTGATGGTGTAAGTTTTAATCTTGGTTTAGTCAAAGATGGTGGTATAACATACCCTGTTCTTTGCACATTCCCCTCTTTAACAGTCTGTGAGTTGTCTTTTTACTTTGCTGATGCAGCCTATTCCTAAGCAGTATATTGAAAGAGTTATACCGTAGAGTAAAATACCTTGCTAATATATGGAACCTTTAACAACTTACATTGGCTAAACCATACTGGTACTAAATTTTAGAGGGTTTAAAAAAATGTTTAATTAATAAGTCACTACTAACTGATCAATGTAAATGAAATATATATCAATACCAAAAGAGTGCATCCGTTTTTCTCCCTCTGCTGCTGCTACTCAGCTTTCTGCATGCTAATTTTTGTGTGCTAAAGCTTTCTTTCTCTAACTTATGTGTTTGGTGACAGTTTAAAAAGAAATCTGAGGGCTTTTAGTTTATATAAAGTAGAATTAAACTTTAAACAGCCAACTCCTGAGTCTTTGGTCTATGAATTCTGGTTTGTTCAGGTTTTTTTAGTTAAAGGCATTCATGAGTGTTGGTACTACTAAGCTACTCCCCTGGGAATAACTTCAGAACAATGAAGATGAAGCAGGTTGACATGAGATTTAACTGTAAGGGTACTGGGAAAGTAGTTTGTCACTTATGACAATGTAAACAAGTGCTATATCTCTACTTGAAGAATGTTACTTAAAAAAAACATTAGCTTGACTGTAACAGCTAAGTAAAAATGTCTAATTTCAAGTGTTCAGATAGCACTAAATTATTATCAGCATTTTGCTATTTCCAGTACATAATAGGAGGATTTGGAATAATATTTTTTTAAAAAAAAAAGTAATTACAAATACATTGGAAAAATGCGTGCTTGGCAAGGTTTGCACTGTTTGTTTCCAAGTATTCTTATTTTGGTTAGATATTTGTACTGAATTGTTATTCAAGTTCTCACGTAAGGTACATTTAAGAATACTGTTATATCCAGAAGTGTGGATATAACAGGAGATGATTGTAGTTTTGATAGAAACAGATTTTCTTCAGGCAGGCAAACCTGAAGGAGTAGATTGACAAGGAAAAAATGTACAAATTTGCCGTTTGTGAACAGAATTCAAGGTGGTGGTGATCTGTTGCCAAACAGTAGTGAACTTCCCCAGTAGTATGATTTCCACTCTATTTGTATGCACGCTGGTTACAGCACTTACTTGGGAGCATCTGTACAATCCAAAGATAAAATTGAAGGAAAAATCTGAAAGCTGTATCCTAGACTGAATTTGCAAGGGAATTTGCATTCCAGCTTTGATTCAGTTTTGAATTGAAAACTGAGACTTACCCTAACATTTTATGAAGTTAGTTAATGAAATCAGAACTCCCCACTGCCGCACCGTTGTTCATCCCCTTGTGAATCTATATGAATAAATACTGGGGTTTATCGATTTTATACTTGTGGGGAGCTGGATAAAGTTCTGGTTAACTTGTGATGCACTGACTGCTGGGTCACCTTTCAAGTGTTTTCGAGATGTAGTTCTGTTAAATTCCATGTTCATAGAGTTGCTTGTGCACGTGTGGCTAAAACCAACACAAATACTGTACTAAGGCAGCCTGCGGAGTTGTAAGCGTGCGCAGTTTAGTGCTTTCAAATAAACTTAAACATAGATCTTAGCTGTAGGTACGCACTGCCTTCAGAATGCTCTCTGAAGGCTGACAGCATGCTGCTTCAAACTTGTGCGTGTAAATCTTCTTCACTAATAACGCAGATACCGTAGTTTCACAAAGTGAACAGTGATGACATTTCTACCTGTAACTTCTTTATAATCAGTTATTAGAGAATTCTTGATGGGTTTTGTTCTGTCTTGGTTCCCTTCCCCTCCCTTTTTGGGATCTTGAGCTAAATGCAGCAGAGCAGTTAAAGCCTAGATGCTAAAAACCAGTTAAAATAGGAAGGCTTAATTGGAACAAAAATTTTTAGGAGGATGATGGCCTTTTTGCCATAAAGGTGCTTTAAGGCTCTTAGGAACTTGCTGTGGTGTATTACTAATTTTTTTTAGGATTATAAAATAGATGTGTTTATATACACAACACCTACGTATTTTGATATAGTATTTTCTCGTTTTATATTTTGTTCAGCATTTACAGCCGAACAATACCAGCAACATCAACAGCAACTGGCACTAATGCAGAAACAGCAGCTTGCACAAATTCATCAACAGCAAGCAAATAGTAATTCCTCTGCCAACACGTCACAGGTGAGGGATTTGTCTGTGCTATGATTTATCCCTCATTGTTTCCCACCAGGGTTCATCTCTAATTGTCAACTGTTGCCATAGAACCTTGAAACTAACCAACAGGAAAGTGGCTTTCGCCTGAATCTACATCATAGCCATTCTGTAAAGTGTTTAGAAGGGACACTGCAGGTGAGTGTGGCAGGCGTTGCCTCTGCTCCCTCTTAACAAAAAAAAGATGGGTCAGTCAATTAATGAAACTTTCAAAGCCTTAGAAATATGAATTGCAGAGATCTCCAGCCATGTCATTATCCTCTTGATAGTGGGGGATTTCTAGAGCAGGATTTTTAGTCAGTAACTGAAGCTAACTCCTAAGTATGTCCTCCACACAGCTGTGGGAGTGTCTGGTATTCATAAATGTGCAGTGATTACAGGGGTGATGGACACACGAAAAGGTTCAGAAGTTATTCGCAATCTGAACCTCTGAGTCTCTGAATGTGGTTTGAAATTCTAGGAGAACAAGTTCACCTCTGAAACGATATTGTTCTGTAGAACTTTGGAAATACGTTTCTCTGTATTTTAAATAGTTATGGGAATTTCCTTCGTTGTTGCAATGGAGCTAAAAGTGCATGGAAAGAACTCACAGTTCAGATTTTAACTTGTGCCAAATGCTGACGATTTGGTCTGAGAGTGTGACTGGGCCACAGTTCTGATATACATGCATTGATTTTTATTGTACTAGTTTATGTGTAGCTTTAAAATGGGGAGAGTGCTGACTTGAGGAACCCTCAATCACCTGTGTTTGCCACCATTGTTCTTTCTAGGGTTTTGTTTCCAAGACACTGGATTCTGTTAGTGCTCAATTTGCTGCTTCAGCTTTGGTTACATCAGAACAACTGATGGGATTCAAAATGAAGGATGATGTGGTGCTTGGAATTGGGGTGAATGGCATTCTTCAAGCCTCAGGTATGCAGCCGGTCAACAGAATTTGGTTGCATCTTGATTTTTACAGTGGAGATTAAGTCTGTCTGGAGTGGAATATTTCTGAAAATTGAGGTGGTTGTTTTGCTTTTCTTTTGCAGGAGTGTACAAGGGCTTACACCTCAGTAGTACTACACCTACAGCACTTGTCCATACAAGTTCATCATCAACAGCAGGTTCAACCTTGTTACAGCCTTCGAATATAACGCAGACTTCAAGTTCCCACAGTGCACTGAGTCACCAAGTAACTGCTGCCAATTCTGCGACAACTCAGGTTCTGATTGGGAACAACATTCGATTAACTGTACCCTCATCAGTTGCCACTGTAAACTCTATTACCACGCTCAATGCACGACATATACCTAGGACTCTAAGTGCTGTTCCGTCATCTGCCTTAAAGCTGGCTGCAGCAACAAATTGTCAGGTGCCCAAGGTTTCGGCTTCATCCTCGGTGGACGCAGTACCAAGGTAGGGGTTTTTTTTAATCTGCCTGTGGTTTCTGGTCTTTATTTTGCTTGATAAATATGTTTGTGGCAAATAAGTACAGTTGTATGGGATCAGGCTGGCTTAAATTAACTTTGTGTCTAATGGTCGAAAAAGGGTACTTGGGGAGGAGTACAGAATCACAGGCTAGACAGACTGTTACACTGATAGTTTTCCAGGATGTTCTGCTCACTATCAGATGAAAAATAAGCATTAGCTCAGAACCGACGTTTGTGATCTGTTAGTAATATGCTGTATAAAAATTCTCCACTGTTGAGTGCAGGTTTTGGCTTTTATGTTCTATGTAAAGGCTGAACTATTCCAAAATTAAACGTGTGTCTGTTCTTAAAAGTAAGTCTGCCAGGAATGAATGTAGGTAGAGTTGGTCCAGCTGCGTTCAATGACGTTTCTGTAATTTGAACACTGGAGAGGACTTCAGAGGGTGTATCCCATTTTGTGTATCTCAAAATTGGAGAAGAGTATTTTTCACATTGTTTATCTGCAATGGTTATTTTCATTTCTAAATGACTGTTCTCAGTTTCCATTGCCTTCGTTAGTTTAAAGTAAGTGTTCAAGGCCAGGCTGGATGAGACTTCGAGGTGTAGCGGGGAGATGTCCCTGCCCATCGTGGGGAGATTAGAACTGGGTGATCTTTAAGGTCCTTCCAGTTCAAAACATTCTCTGATTCTATGATTTGGCCAGAAGAGGAATTAAAATAGGTTAAGCAGGAAGTCAGTTCAGTGTTTCCTTAGATAATTCCAGATACTGTAACTAGTGACATCATCAGCAACTTCTTTTATTGCACAGTTTTTACTGCTTCATCACAAGTTTTTGTGTGGTGGCAAATGGGGAGATTTTACAGTGAGGAAAGTGTTCAAAATAGGGACTGCTGGGAGTTAAGCACACAATAACTGTGGAAGGGTAAGAGGAGTGAATTTCAT